CCTCCAGGGTGCTTTGCTCAGAGGAAGGGACAGGCAGGACGAGGCAGAGTTACCTGCAGCTTCAGGACAAGACCCCAAAAGATGTGTGGGAGCAGGCAGGTCTCAGTACCAACCAGCCCAGGCGGCCAACCCAGGGCCGGGAGGGGCGCAGGCAGGCACGGCAGACCTGCAGGTGATCTGGTGAGGAACCTAACTGTTCTTTGAGAGGCTGCCTTGGCAGAACTTAGCCGGAGCTTACTCTTTCCTAAGCACTAAGTCTAGTGTCTTAAAAATTCAGATGAACCCAAACCTTAAAAATAGGGGACATCTGTCGAGACCGGTTTGGCTCAATGGATAGAGCGTCGGCTTGGGGACTGAAGGGACCCGGGTTCGATTCTGGTCAAGGGCATGTACCTTGGTTGCGGGCATATCCCCAGTAGGGGGTGTGCAAGAGGCAGCTGATTGATGACTCTCTCATCGATGTTTCTAGCTCTCTATCTCTCTCCCTTCCTTCTGTACAAAATCAATAAAATATATTTTTTAAAAAATAGGGGACATCTAATTCAGGACCCCCACATTCCAGACAAGGCCATAGAGGCCCTGGGAAATTCAGTGACTTGGCCAAAGTTGTCCAGTTAGCTGTCGAGACCGGGAGACCGCTCCTCTGGCCGAGGACGGTGTAAACAGGTCTGAGGGGGACACACCAAGCGCCTCCACCTTCTGAGAACATGCAACCACGCCCTCCCTCTCCTTCTGGATTGAGGCCAGTTTCCTTCCCTATCACAAGGCAGGGCCTGTTGGGGGTTCTGCCGAGGCTTTTCTCTCTGGCCCTTTCCCTCACCTGGATACCGGCAGCCACGCTCTGACAGTTACATGTATGAAATGGGAGCTCTGGAGGTGAGAAGGCAGACTGAGGAGGAGCCTGGAATGGGAAGTCCTGCACACCCCATGCCCTCCTGCTGTGGCCACTCCTGCCCAGCATCTGGGCCCGGAGCCCGTGGGGCTGAGCGCCTGCAGACACTCAGATGCTGCAGGATGCTGACTTCCCAGGGGGCTGTGCCCCTGCTCTCAGCAGACATCACCGGCATGTGGTCTTCCCCGAAGAGCGGCTCCCCTTGGATTGTTCTCCCAACCTCTTCCTGGATTAGGGGCCCCAGCATGCTCTGGGAGCTAGTTAGAAGGACGGACTCTCAGGACCTCCACCCCAAGACCTACCGAGTTGGCACCTGCACTTTGACAAGCTCCAGGGTGATTCCCCATGAGGGTCAGAGGGCAGCGCTGTGCTAGGTTCCTCCTTTCCAGAGCCACACTCCAGTTTGTGGACCAAGGATATGTTACCCAGCAATTTCACCCCTCAAGTGCAGCCAGCAAGTACTGCAGCCCCTCTTGCTCCCTCCGACCTTCGATTTACAGGGAAAACACCCAGGATGCTCCAGGAAGAAGTCAGACATCAATATTCAAAGAGTAAAATGGTCTGAGGCTCTGGCTTCCGGGCAGTGTCACTCCAAAGGCCCCCCAAGGCACTGCTGTGACCTAAGGCTGTCTGATGCCTGATACTACCCAGATGCCTCTGGGCTGTGAGTTAATGCCCATTCATTACTCCCAGATTACTAAAGGACAGTTGGACTGTGCATTCTTAAGAAAATGTTTGGAACAAAATAGTCGTGGCTTACAAATGTTATCTAGACAGTTAATTCATGTGCAACAACCCTTCCCTCCCAATCACACCAAATGTATGACTTCCTGTCTCCACCATTCAGGATTTTGTTAATTGGCTGCCCCCCTCCACCAACCCCCCTTCGCCTTCCCCAGGCAAGCTAAATATTTTCTGTGGTTCCTGCTCGTTAATACAACACACAGGAGGCAATAAAATGGTTTTTTTAGACTTTTTTTTTTTGGATTTGTTTTTAAAGAAACTGCATACATCATCAGAGACAAACAATAATTTAAATACCATGCAGTTTCTGTATGTACAAAACCTAGGCCGTAGAGATCCAGTTTAACTTGTGTTCTATTTACATCGTCTTCCTCATACAGCCGTCATCTGTGGGATCAGAACACGAGCGCGCGCTCCTATACAAAGACAAACTATGTACAGACACCCGGGGAGCAACCGGCCAAAGCAACCGGTTTGGGGATTAACAGACAAATGGGAAGAAAAAAGTCATTTCATTTAAGGTGACCTTCGCACACTAGCTGTGCACAGGGGGAGCGGGCATCCACTCGTCAAGCACACAGCACAGTTTCCATTCAGCAAATGTACACGTTCGGAAGCAGGAGAAAAATAAACTCAGGTTCTCACCACAACTACCGTCACACCGTTTGGTTTCTCTAATCTGACATGAAGGCTAAAGTTTTAAAGGTTTTCCAGGGCTCTGAGGGCCTTTGGGAGGAACACAGCAATTTCGAAAGAGCACGCAGGTCTGGCCAGTCGATGGCACTGTTCTGTGGTGGACGGGCGGGGGAGGGTGGGGCAAGGTCTCATTTTCAGAAGGAAAACATTTTGATCTGAGGAGTTACACACTTTTCCTTTCATGACAAGAGGCCCACTTGGAAATGTATACACACAAACTAAACCTGTACTTAAAAACAGCAGCTTTTTCAGACAAGGAGAGCATTGTAAAGCAGCCAGACCAACTCTCCCAAGATCCCCACCTCTAGTTATTGTTGATTTGTCATCTTGGAAATTAACACACATTTTTCAATTGTCAGATCAATGTGGCAAAAAAGGAATTTGGACAGATTTCTGCAAATTTCCTCCAGATTTCAGGAAGGGAAAGGGACAGCTGTGGTCCTTGGAAGTTGCTGAGCCACATACAGTGGGTTTGAAGCTACCCACATCTGGGTGGGTGTTCTCACTGGCATGGCAGGTGCAACCCGAAGTCCTGCAAGTGGAAAACGGTGCTCTGCAGGAAGCGAAGGGGAACGTGTCAGATTCCTGCTGTGCACAGTGGACTGCACAGGAGAGCACTGTGGGAGGCAGGTGGGCTGCAGGGAAACTGACTTGGGCCTCATGTCCCCAGGGAATCAGAAAGGCCCAAGAAGCAAGGCCAGCAGAAAAGCCACTGGCCTTGGTGGGAGGAGTCCAGGTAAAGGAATGAGTTCCTCTAGGACTCTCTCCTGGGCCAGGGGAAGGCCTGCCCATCCTGCCAGGGCACTGCCAGTGGCCTGAAGTACAGCTGCCCGGTAGAGGAAGCGCAGACTCAGCTCTGGACAAGGCAGGCAGCTCTGCCCAGAACACGTGCCCGCTGCAGAGAAGTCAAACGCAAGAGCCCTACATCTTTCGCCACACCATCTGCACATTCAGACGTCAGGAAGCCTTTTGGGAAGAGAATGCTTACAGCCACACATTTCCTCTGAACAGTCCTTCTACTCACATCAAGAACCATTAAGATTCAGCAAAGAAAGGATCGAGTGATGGCAGCGGCATGTGCCAGGCGCTGTGAGGAAAGCACAGGACAGATGTGCAGCGGCTGCTTGGCACTGCCTGAAGAACTGCCCGCATCCCCCGCACACGCACAGCCCAGGGTGGTGCTGGCCGCAGGAGCTGCGGATGCCTGCAGAGGGTAAACAGCAGCACTGGTGGGCGCACATCCCAGCAGTCACTCCCTTCCCACACAGGTTGGGGTGGGGACTGGTTAACTCTTTGCTGTGAAGGCCAGGCTGGCATCCTTCTAAATCTTGGGCATGTGTGCTCAAGAGGGAATTATCACCTGGAAAGACTGTGATAACTGTGAGATCACAGTGACTGTGGGAGGCTGGGCAGAGCTTTGCAATGGGGGCCCTACGAGCTCTATCAGGAGAGAAAAAGGGGCTGCAATGGGCCCCATGACAGCTCTTAGGGTTTGGGGGTTGTCCTTCCTCTCACAGCATGTTACCTTTGGGGTCCCCTCAGTCAACAGAGCACTGCTTCCCATGGTCCCAGGTGAGGGGGGCAGTTAGGCCTCTCCAATCACCTTTGCCAACATCATGAGGGAGGAAGGGTTCCCCTTGGAGAAACGTGAACAGGGAAGAGCAGCACAAGACGGGCATGGCTGCTATCTGCCTGATTCTAGCCTCTGCCAAACCCACAGAACCCCGCAGTGCAGAGAGGAGACTGAAGGCCATCACGTCTCCTCTAGAGTACCAGTCCATCAGTGACCGGAAGGCCGGTCCTTCAGGAATGGTTTCTGGCCTGCAGGTGGGGGGGCCGGTTCTCGGGAGCCATTAACTTCCGAGCCACATGGTCACCAGCCCTGGGACAGGCAAAGAAAATGAAGACCACCAGCCAAGAGGAGTTCCCAGCCCAGTTTTATGCCCTCCAGGTGGTCCTTACGCCCATAAGCGTGATGCCATAAGGTCACCGTGGCAGTGGCTGTTTGTGTGCGGACGATCACCTGTGCCACTGGGCTGTTCACTGAGCAGAACCAACTCTCCCCTTCTAACCCAGCGCTTCCCGCAGGCAGCTCCATGGGACAGGATGGGTGTGACCGACACCCAGACTCCCCCGGACAAGGGCTCCTCCCTTTTGGAAGGAGGGTGGCTGGAGGGAGAGGACAGGGCAACTGAGACAATGCTCCCTTCTCAGCATCCTCCTCCTGAGGGAACCCCAAACCAGAAGTCAAGCCTAACCGGCCAACTAGATCATTTGCTTCTCGAAGTCATTCCCAGGCCACGCCCAGTGCCTCAGCTTTCTTTGGACTTAGGTGACAGGTGCTTTTGAGGAAAGGTGCTGGAGCCTGAATAAAGATGGTGCCCGAGGGCAGGGGCTGAAAGTCTTCCGCGAAGCCGCAGGTACTCTCGGCCGGCCAGGGACGGGCATGGTTCAGGACCCGTGGCGGTGCCAGCAGCTCTGACCACTGAGCAGTGACCATCGCATTTCTCAAACAGAATCCTGATTGTGTTTCCTTTCCTTCTCCTTCTTTTAAAAAAGGCAGTTCAGAAGATTTACACCGTGATGGGAAGTGAATATATACCAGCACTTATGGTTCTTATAAATTTATGTTTTGAAGACAGCATAGCACTCAAGAGGAATCTGACTGTTAAGGTCGGTGAAACCTGGGAAAAGAAATAAATGAATCAAGACCAAGTGACTGCCTGAGGTGTCCAGTTCCACAGCCCACTTCATCCGTCCTCAGAGTCCTTGCCTCTGACAGCAGAGGGGGGTATACATCTCCTACCAGGGCACATCCACAGAACCCCTGAGGCCCACCGAATCCACCTTCGGTTTTGGAATAGTTTAATCGGAATTCCTACAGACTAGTCAGTAGGCCCTGGTGGCCTGCAGCCCGGACTTGGCAGTGAGGTGGAGACCTTGTGTTGGCACCTTGTATCTGTAAGTCTAGGCACCATTTCTCAGAATGCTCCCCCAAGGGAGTGTCTAAAAATTGTCAGTTATTCTGTCATCGAGTGACCCCACATAAGCTCATTATCTCTCTGAGTTCAGTTCCCCAAGCAGCACCACACTAGACCACCTGGGAGAATGACAGGGAATCACAGAAGTGAACTAGGGTTGGCCCCTGCCAACTGGCGGTCAATCGACAACGATCTTTTCTCCTCGGCTTAAGTTTTGTGAACCCCACCTCAGGGTTATGGCACTTGGCTCTTCAGTTTGAATGAGTTAAAAGTGGCTATCATCCTGGGCCTGAAGGCCCCTCACCCCACCCCAGTCTCAGTGGCCACAGTGGGAACTGAATGCGAATATTTATCTCCTCCTTCACGTGCCCACCGAGAAACAGGTAGGTCATTTGGAAAGATATTACAACTTGAGAAGGAAAAACACACTTCGATACTAACCTTGTTAGATGTCTACTCAGCTCATGAACTTCCATCTCAGTGCTTTTAAATTCATTCAGCTCCTTCCGAATGGCAGCCTGGAATGGAGAGAAGCCCATGAGTATGCTGAGGGGGCAGATTGGATGGAGCTCACTTCTTATTTTATTTCTATTTTTTTTCCTTTGACAAAGCCATACAAAGTAGAGTTTTCACTGGGAGAAAGAAAAACAATCACCTGAGATATCTCTTACACCTACTGCCCTTAAATCTAAATCGCGAATGACTCTGAATAGGCTATTGCCCAGGGCACTGTCTTCTTTCTTTCTTCACAGAGCTGTTTCCTCCAGCATCCATAGTGTGCACACTTGCCCACACTCCTGGGCTTATATATGTATACACTTAAATGTCCCTGACCAGTGTAGCTCAGTGGTTGAGCATTGACCCAGGAACCAAGAAGCCACTGGTTCGATGCCAGGTCAAGGGCTCAATCCCCTGAGAAGGGTGTGCAGGAGGCAGCTGATCGATGATGTTTCTCTGTCATCAGTGTTTCTGTCTCTGTATCTCTCTCCTTTCCTCTCTAAATAAATAAATAAATAAATAAATAAATAAATAAATAAATAAATAAAAAACATACTTTTAAAAATAATGTGCCAACCTCTCACCTGCCTTAGGTAAACAATCTGAACTCATCACAGCCACTCAGTGCCTCACAGTAGATACTTCTAGGAGGGGAGGGTCGCCCTCCTTCCCTTTGATTTGTAAACCCTCTGCTCTTTCATGACTCTTGAAGCTGAGGCAGTCTTTTTCACCATTACGGGTGGATGGGATGTCTTGAAGACTTAGTACACTCTGCGCGGTAAACTTGAGTAGCCTCATCTTTCCAGCATTGCCCACCCACGTGGCTGCAGCCCACCTGCAGGGCTGGGGAACCAGGAGCAGGGACAGGTGAGGAGGGTCTGGAACACAGGAATGCCAGGGGCAGGAGTTTTAAATGTGTGCCCTTCCACGGAAGTCGGCATTTGCTTTCGTGGGAATGTCAAAGCACTGAGAGTCGGAGGCTGGAGAAGTTTTCAGGGAGCATCACAGTGGCTCCTCTTGAAAGGAAGGCATGTGAGCATCTAAGGGCCAGTTAGAAGACCCTGTTGGGTTTCCCATCCCCAGCAGCCTGGGTGGCACTGGGTCCACTCCCCATCCAACAGCTCCTCAGAGCTGGAGTCGCCCTTGACACCTGTGGCTCCCCTGCCCTTGGTGAGCAAGCACACAGCAGCCAGTGTGAGCCAGAGAACCAGGGCCAGGGCCCTCCTCTGGGGACAATACAGACACCACCACCTGGGGGGCAGGTTCTGTCTGGGCCAGTGTTATAGTTATATTAGTGTGATGTTTGATTTATATTTTAAGGATTTAAAACAGTGTGAGAATAATTATTTGTGTGATTTAAAATAGGAGTGAAAACATTTATTTTTATGAGTTTAAGTGAGAATTGTATTTCTGATCTTATTCTGATTTTAAGTAAAAGAAATTATTTGAAATGTGTTTAAGGCTTAGTATAAGTAACTCCATTTTGTGTGACTTGAATCCATTTTGTAAAACTTAAGTTTTAAAGTGACTCTGAGCCCTGACTGACTGTAGGAACGCCCTAACATGTGCATATCTGGAAAGTTGTAACTGTGTGAATGCCCTAACATGTGTTTATCTGGAAAGTTGTAACTGTGTGAACGCCCTAACATGTGTTTATCTGGAAAGATGTAAAGCGAGGCAAAAAGTACCTGGAGACCCCCGATAAGACACACAAAGACCCATTGGTTACACCCAGAGGAACAAGGGAACACCCAGAAATGGCCATAAAAGAAGGGTCAAGACGCACTGGTCAGAGACCACAAGTGCTCCTCCACCCGCGTGTTCTCTCCGCTCCCTTCTTTCCCTGTCCGAGATACTGCGTGACGCTCTGCCGGAGTGAGCTGTCCCTCTGCCCGTGAGCCAAACCTCTGAGGCCTCGATCGGGACTGAGACGCTGCCACGGCGTGTTCCTGTCCAGTGTGTGTCTGTCGGCGCGGATCTCCAGGCGACCTGCCTAAGCTTCTGGAAACCACCAGGACTCTGGTAAATAATCCGTGTGTGATTCGTGCATCTTAATATTTGTCTCTGTGTTTATGCTCGGTCAAATTTAGTTAAGTACTGTGGGCAACCGGTATAAATCCAATCCTTTGGCTGAGGGACCCCAGTCACCTGTGCATACATTCCCACCTGAGGGTGACGTTGGAACAGCCAGTTCCTGGGCCTCACCGAGTTCCGGCATAGGGAAGAGAGGTGCTGCATTTAAGAGGAGGGCAGAGTTTCCACTCTTCAGGATCTGGGGGTTGACCCCATGTGGGAGGCTATTTCCAGGCAGTCTCTGCCTCTGACCTCATCAGTATCCTTACGTGCAGTGGCTCCCCTGTCCTTCCCAGCCCTCCAGTTCCTCATGGGGACTGGACTAGAACCCTAAACAATGACCAAGCAGAGTTTAATTCTAATACGAGGTCTGATGGGCAGGGAAGAATGGTATCATGTGCATCATTGCGTTTCTTATAAAACAAACTCAACTTCAGATTGTTTGTATTCTGCCTTCTAGTCAATGAAGGTTTAGTGCAGGGACATGTTTTGCTGTCTCTGTGCTTTGTCTTTGCCAGGACAGTGGCTTCAGCCCCTCTTGGTTGTGGGTCACCCCTGTGGTGCTACAGCCAGTGGCCCTGCCCAGAAGGTCAGCTGGGTGCCCCACAGATGCCATTCTTTTCTCTGGGCAGTATCTCCATACTGCCTTTCCTTCTCCCGTAAAATGGCACAATATTACGTGTCCGTCTTGCTCCTTCTCCGGAGCCGTGAGGAATCAATTCAGTGACCGCTCCCAATTATCTGGAGCCCTGGTGAAAGGTGGTGGGGACACGGCACTCCCAACCTGCCCCGTTGGCACTGAGTGCTCCATTCCCGAGACCCTGGCCGTGGCTTTGCTGTTTGTTTTAATGCAGCGTCCCAGGCAGCAACGAGGAATCCAGGGTAGGGGTGAAACCTGGGCATGGGCACCTGGCCCCCCTCTCCTCGCCCCTCTCCTTACTTTGTCGGCAGCTGTGAGGCGGGTCCACGGCTTGTCGGCCCTGCGGTCGTAGTCCTGGGCGTCAGCCACCTCCACGTAGTCGCTGAAGCGGATGAGGATCTTCCTTTCCCGGAGTTCTTCCACTGTGGGCCTCTGGCTGAGCTGCGGGCGGAGGAGAGGGGCACGGTCACAAAGAGGAGTTTGGATCACTTGCCCATCCGTGGATTTACAGGTGAGCAAAATGAGGTCCCGAGAGGCCACTATGCATCACACAGCAAGGGAGGGCCAGGGCTCCCTGCTCCTGCACCCGAACTTTTCTAGGAGAGAGTGTTTTACTGTTCACTGAGCTACACTATTGCTGGAGCCTCCTCCAGGCCTGTGCTCAGCCTCGCTGTCTCTGGTAACATGCCAGTGTCTTGGTCTCTGCAAGCAGCCTGTCCTGGGGTGAATGGGTGTCTGTTGAGGGTTTCCCCACATTTGTCTCACTTCTCGCATCACGGTGACAGGAATCTTACACAAAGGTTTTACCTTATTTTGGATTTGTGAGTACACATCCGTGTCAAATGTAGTGCTCTCTGAAAGACGAGCTAGTGCATCATTTCACATACAAAAAAACGTTTCAGACACAAAAACATGGTCTGAAGGTCAGAGGAGACTCCAGTCCTCAGGAAGGTCAAGTGAAATGAAAGGCCAGCCCAGGAAGGCAGAGCTAGGCCCCATTTGTGCCAAGGAAGCCTCGGATGGGCCTTTCGGATTGCTCTGCGGTGAGAACTCAACCATCTCCCGATGTCGCCCACCGACACCCGCTTTTGTACTTCCGTTACCTAAGGCTGATATTTCTACTGCCTCCTCCTGTCCCTGGGCTTCTTTCTTCTGGAGCAAAGCAGCTGCCCTCTCCTTCGGATGCTGTCAATTCACGTTTCACCCATATTATTTAAAAGCAACTTTTTCTCTAGGCCCTGGACTGTATTTAGTCCTATTAATGGGAGACGCAGTCAAATGCAATCCTACTGCAATGGCCTAGAGAACACACACACACACACACACACGCACACGCACACGCACACGCACACGCACACACACACACACACACACACACACACACACACACACACACACCGGGAGCCCAGCCACCTGGCTGTTCACCGTCTCATGCCGCTGTCACTGGTGCCGAACGCTCCACTCACTGCCAACGGCCCGCAAAGGCAGGCATGACTAGATGCCTGTCTGGCTGGTACTGAACGGGATGGAGAAGGGTTTACAAGGCTGCAGACAGGACCAAGGCAGCCGTAGCTCCCTCCAGACCAGTGGAGGAAGACCTGAGGATCAGAGGCCTCTGGGGCCAGGGCAGGGCCCACCTGCCTGGACTATGGAGCTCCCCCCCACCCTCCAGGTGGTTTTGGTCTGCCCTAGAGCAGCCCTGGTTCTCCTGGGACAGGACATTTCCACCTTCTGGGAGCTCACATCTCTCTCCACAGAAAGAGAGGTGAAAGCTGCTTCTAGTCTCTCCCTTAAAACTGACCCCTCAACTCAGCTCATTATTTCTATTTCCCCAAGCCAGTCCCGGGGAAGGACAGGAAATCAGGAGGAGGAAGAGCATTTACCTTCTCTGGGAGACCTGCAAACATGACGGGCTTTCTGAGGTCCCTGCCCCTGTGCAACCCACCCCAGGGGAGATGGTGTGAGAGGAAACCCTCCTCCCTCTCCCCGGGCCAAATGATGCAGTTCTTCCCTACAAAACTATATACACTCCTAAAATATGGTTTCTTACATCGATCTTAGAGAGGAAGGGAGAGGAATAGAGAGATAGAAACATCGATGAGAGAGACATGGATTGGCTGCCTCCTGCCTATTAGGGATTGAGCCTGCAACCTGGGCATATGCCCTGATCGGGAATCAAACTGAGAACTTGGTTCATGGGTTGATGCTCAATCATTGAGTCACACTGGCCAGGCTATATACTTCTTCTAAAGAGAAAAGAATTAAATGGGTATTTAAATGTTTACCTATTATTAGTTTTTAGGAGAATTTTTGGGTGCCAGCAACCAACTCCAATGAACTTTATGAAAACTGGATTTTCAATTTTTTCTGAATGTCTAGACCTTGTTGTATCAGAAATGAACCACTTTTTGATACTGTAGCCATTTCAAGGTTACATTTAGAACAAGCTAACATCCTTTCCCTCCCATCATCCTCACTCCTCACTCTCAGGACAAAGGGTGCCTTATGACTGGATGGTCATAAGGTAAAGAATCAGATGGTGGCTGAGGTGAGGGCGCCTTAATGAACTTAGCTCTTGCTCTAGTTCCCACCAGGAGCATGCCAGCCTGTCACTGGCTTCAGGCACTGATGTATCCTGCTCCTTTTCATTGGGATGGCATTTGGCTCATTGCCAGAAGCCTGGGATGCGCTAAGGGAGAGGAGAGCATTGAGAAACAGGAGTCATCATCTTTGTAATTGGTGTGATATTTTAGAATCTTTGAATGTCTTCCTTTGCATAATATTTCTAGGGAGAAGCATCCATTAATAAACCTTTTAAAAATTAATTTTAATAGGCTCTTAACTGTCTCTGAGTTTTGAGAACCTTGGTCACTGCAGGAGGCTGACTGCAACCACTCTTGTCTGACAGAACATACTATTATATCTTGTGTGTCATCAATTAATTAAACTTGCCAACAGCATCCAGGAACAGCCTCAATAAGAGTTTCTTATTAAAGAGACCACTCATGTAGGATTAAACCCATTTGGGTCTACAGTACATTGCCAAGCCATCTATTTTTGGGGTTAAAAATATATAAAAATTCTAGTTTATGTCTTCTATCTTAAGTGCTTTTCAAACATCTTCAAAAATTTATCAGTATTTTAGGCTTTTTCCTGATTCAATACTCCAAATTGATTTAGCATAATCAAGTTAAACTGCTCTTAGTTAATAGTTAAGGAATAGTGTCAGAGAGGCAAGGAAAATTCAAATGTTCCAAAGGTCATAGCAAATAACTTATATTTGAACTACTGCTTTGACTATGAGTTCCCGATTGCTTGATGGCTAATGGTACGCTTTTAAAAATAAAATACACACTGTCATTGAAAATGTAATGCACTTGACATCAAGTTGCTTGGGGGCGGGTGAGCATCACAAAAATCAAGCAACACAGAATGTCACCAGACAAGATTGAAGGTCATGCTCCCGTGGAGAGGTCCTGGAGAGCCAAGATAGTTGCTCACTCTGCCAGGGGAGATTCTCCCCATGGGCCAGGCAGCTGCAGGCCACTGAGCAGACGGCCTCCCTCCCTCTCCTGCCCCAGCGCTCAAGAACCTTCTCACCTTTCGAGTTAGCCTCCTCTTGATCTCTCTTTTCTCCTCTTGTTCCTCTTGTTCGTTCCGAGCTGAAAGAAACATTTAAGATGCTTTTGATTCTGTAGACTGTTGCACACAGGGGCATACTATGAGCCTTCGAGGCTCCGGGCCGAGCACCTCACAGTTAGGAGAAGGGAAGAGAAAGCTTGTTTCCTACCCTGGCCTTGCTTCTGCCTCTGGGGGCACTTTCATATTGGTGGTGAGCAGGCTGACCTGCCCGTTTTGTTTCCTTTCTGTCACCTGGGGTTTCCAGTCTCCCGGCAGCATTGCTGGGTGAGAGGTGTAGCTTGTAAGACAAGGAGGGAGGTCCTAAAAGATCAGGGTGCTGTCAGCAGTGAGGTGGGCCTCCCTCCACTCTGCCTCAGCCTCACAGTCCCCGCAGGGCTCATTGTGATGTGGCTCTCGGGTCGGTGCCCTGTGGGAGTTGGGGTGCCTGTCACCTGTGCAGAAACAAGAGGAGGAATGCAAAGGCCAGCTTGGCTGCACAAAGAGGAATTTCAAAAACGCTCACCTTTCCCAAGCCCTGCTTCCATTAATTCTTTGAATCTTCCGAGAAGTCCACTGAGCATGCGTGTGGCCAGAGTGTGGGGCACAATTGCCTGCATTGGAACCTTTAAGGAGTGCCTTAGGGGAGCAGGCCCGGAGCCTGCACCTTACCAGCTTAATATGTGGGTGACTTGCTCATCAGATGTTTATAGAGCTGCAGCTAAGAGGGCCTGGGGAAGGGAGCAGGTTTGCAGGACAGAACCCGGGGGCTTTTTTTTTCTCCTTTCCAGCTAACAGAATGACCTTGAACATCACTTCTTTCTGGGGAAGGAATGGAAGCATGGCTCTAAGTTTATATTGTTTAAAAGCATGAGAGGCAAAGGTCTCTGCTTCTCACCTGCTGGATCTTGAGAAAAATCACTAGTGTTTAATTGTATTTCAATAACTGAATTAATGTATCGTATCATGCACATTTGCAATTCAGTTGTTTCAATATAGGGCAGATCTTTAACAGAGGGAAGCCCCTGTGCAGCGAAGTGGGTCCCACCCTGCCCTCCTGTCAGTCCTGATGGCAGGCAGCAGCCACAGCCACTCCTCCCGCCCGTTCAGATCAGAGCTCAGGGGCAAGATCCCTGTGCGGATCAGGATGCTGTATGGGGGCAGCACCAGAAATGCCATGGCCTGCCATGGGCCGAGGTCCCCACAGTAGCCTGCCCCACAGTGCCCCTAGCCACCCACACAAAAGCTCCTTCCTTTAGATGTTAAGATCTGATCTCCCTCTCAGAGTTCCTATAAAAATGCAAATTTCTTTTGGATAAAAGCCCATTAAAATAGTTAGCCATTAACATCTTAGTATGCACTAACCTTACAGAGATAAATAAGTTGGGCGGCAGACAGCAAGACTCAGAAGAAGGGGAGAGCTCAGACAGCTGCATTTGCAGGTGGCAGGGAGGGAAAGGTCTAGTCTGGGAGGGGGTGCCAGGGGCCGCTCGGGCACTTGGTTAAAATGTGCAGAGTATTAAGGACATGAGGGGCTGAGAAACCACCTCCCACTCTGAGTTTGTAAATGAGGATGGGAAAGCCCAGAGGATGAAGTGGTTGCTCACAGGCTACAGGGCCAAAGAAACAGACAGCACCACTCTTTTCTCACCAGGGACACTGCCCTAGTGTCTGGCCTCTAGCTCTAGTCAGGGCTTCCTCACCCTACAGGCCCCTTTCCAAACCTTGAGTGGCATTCTGTGACAGAACACAGAGCTGTCATCTCCTATGTACAATTCCTAGGTCCCTCTCAGGGACGGAGCCCCAAGACCACCTATGGAATCTATACCTTTAGTTCAAAGTCATTTACAAATGCAGGGTAATGTTTTCTCAGGCCAGTGATACCAAGGCAACCCCACTAGGCAACTGGGGAGAGAGGCCAGGACAGGCCCATGATGTCATCACACCCGCGGTCACCATCAGTGTGCTCATTGTGTGCTCAGGTGTGCACAGTGCCTCACTGGCTGCTGACAAAGCAAGCACTGACCACAGGGCCGGTGGGGTGGGGCTGGATGCCAGACCCAGACCTGCTTCATTGAGGGCTCTCCCTAGCACCTTCGGAGAGATGGCTCCTCACAGGATTTAAACTCAGAAAATAAGCTTTAGGACGGTTGAATGGAGGGTCTACTAAAAATTTCTTGTTTCACAATCAGATGGGAATAAAGAAAATAAAAACATGTTTAGAAAACAATGATCCAGAATGAAGGGGAAAAATAAGAGCCAACAGGAAAAATGGGTTTATTTTCAACAAGTTTTGGAACTGTGAAGTGATCAAGCTGTTTGAATCAAGTGGTTCTTTAACATTCAGCTATTTGAATAGGACAAGGAGGAGGAACTAGAAGGAAACATGGACATAATCTAAGCTGCCTGGATCTCCTGAATCTAAGCCTCCCCCAGGCTTCCTCGACATGAGCAACTGCCTCTAAGATGTATTTTTCTTGATGGCGATAAAAACCCAAGGCAAGGAGCCAACCCATGATCTCCCAGGGGTCTGGGTTAGAAGGGGTGGTGGTGGGGAAAGGATAGAAAGGTTGGGGGTATGAGCTGTGGGGTGTGAGCTGTGTCTTCGAGAAGCCAGAGGTGAGCTGGGGCTTTGGCACCACCTCTTTTCAAACCCTCGCTTTTGCTGAGAACTAATTTCTGAAACCTGAAGTTTTTAGCTTCTTTGGGTTTAGGAGTCCGTCAGAGGCCCACAAAATAGTCTAGCCCATGTATAGACGTTCCTTCAGAAGCCAACAGATCCCTGTAGGCCTGTAATTGGGGGTGAGGGGACAGAGGGAGGAGAAAGCACATTTACCTGATTTGTTATTTTAGGAATAAACAGAAGCTTTATAATAGATCAGGTGTCTGGTTGGGGCCAAAAGTGCTTTCTTGACCATGGAAATCAGCTGAAAAAGTTCTAACTCTATTTACAGCATATTAAGCTTTCAAACCTTAGTGGGTGCCCCTTGTTAGAAATGTATACATAAATTCCTAGAGACCTAGGAAGTCTGTGAGAAAGGCAGACCTAAATATAGCAGCCACTGAGGACGGAAGCAGCAGGCTTGAGGGCACAGGTGGCAGGCAGGGTGCCAAGGGCAGTCACCATGCAGAGAGCTCTGGAGGGGCTGCCCCGGCCCCAGCCTTCCCAGGGGAAATGAACAGCTCACCCTCAGTACATACCCCATGCTGACCAGGTCAAAGACCAGGTCAAAGACCACAGGGACGAAGGGGAGAAAGGTAAAACCAAGAACATTTCAGTCTGTTTTAAGTGGAAATACCCTCCCACGCAAACAGCTTTCACATGATTGGAGCGTGTGTGAGGGTAGGCACACGTGCACAGCTGAAGCATTTCTATGAAATTCTAGTTCTCTTTTCTGGAGGGAAATTAGCAAGGGATATACGTGTAGGAAGACAGGGTAGTGAATCACACCAAGAATACTTGTTGGCCATCATCTTGCGAAACGTGTTTGTGAGAGTGGTAGCAATAGTTGAATAGAATGTGAGCAGAGATTTTACTGTTTAATTGCTGTACCCGTGTCCATGATATTTGGTTTCTTTTAATATCATATATACATTATGCAATATTAAAATTATATATCTATACATTTTTAAGTACCAAGTGGACTCTCTGGATATAGTCAAATATCTGTGTCCTAAGCCAAACAAGGGGCTGGTTTGTTTTTTCTGTCCACAGCCACAGCCACAGTGAGGGAGTTTTTCTTGAATGAGGGCATTAGGCAGATACCCCAGCAGCCAGCTTTTGGGGAGGGGGCAATGAGAGATGAACATAAAGTATTTGTTTTTGGAAACGCTTCCCTAGACTTTAAATTCAGTGTTCAGAGGGAGGAGGGGGGTTTGATCAACAGCAGCCAGATGCAACGGAAAGTCACATTTCCTAGTCCCAGGTTCCAAATGGCCATTTGCCTTATTTTTGCCTTCCATGTAGTATTTGCAGTTTTCAAGGCAATTCTGGTTTAAAGGTTACACTAACTCACCTCATAATCCTTGGGTGGCCTGTGCTCTCCTCTCACAACACAATCTCAGCTTCTCTCTGACTTACAGCCCCCCCCACAGGGAGGAAAGGGGTGTCTGGAGCGTCTAAGAAGCCACGTGGATTGGAACCTGCCCTCGGTGGGGAGCTGGCCTTGGCTGGCCTGACACGCAGGATGGAGCCTCAGCCGCCACCTTCCCAACCATTCCCACTCAGGCACAGGGGACAGACCTTGCGGCCGGCCACTAAATCATAATGAAAACGACCACACAGACATCGGGATTGCCACGAGCTTAGTTACTTACGTTTCAAAATGTTCCTCTGCTCCAACTCCTCTGCGGTAGGCCTCTGGCTTAGCCGCCTGCGGAAAAAGTCCAGGAAAAGTTTTTGGACCATATCATATCCTCCTTGGGTCATTAATCTCTCCCCTCGTAGGTACATGAGGCAGAGCCGGTGGCCAGAGTTCCTGTTCCATCCTGGGTTGTGAGGGACTGACTAGACCATAGCCTCAGTTCCTCAATTTCAACCCCAGGACAGACGCCCCACGTCACATCACCGCACCAGCAGACCCTGCCCCTTCCTCCTGCAGGCCCCTCCCCGTGGCTCCTCCAGTGCCTCAGGCAAGGGACTGCTCCCCACAGAAGTCCCTTTCTTTCCTTGTGGCCTCCACACTTGGGATCTTGGCCTCTGCCTTTCTCTCCAACCCTGAGGCTAGAGCCTGCTTCCTGCCACAATTGTGCAGAGCTGTTAGAATAGAAAGAGGCCTATGGCCCCAGGGAGATGCAAGAAGCTTGTCTGTCTGCAAAGAACAATAGCTGCTCTTCTTCTCATCTCCACCCATCACTATGGGCCTATAGGCCCTGGAATGTCAACTGAACAGGAACCCAAGGGACACTCCTATTGCCCAGCATGGCACATAATTTAACCACATCTTAGTGAAACACACCAAGGCCATGAACCTGAGATGATGCAACAGCAGGGAGTGGGGACAGACAGTGGGCAGGCTCCACATAGTGACCGGGTAGAATTCTCCAGAGAATGGGAAGGGCACCAAAGGGGAGAACTACGTGCCTGTACACCTGTGTAACGGATGTTCCAGGAATGGCCAACACAAACCCAGTGGGCCTCAGCAATCTAAGGCATTCGTATTTTTGAAGTTCTTAGGAATTCTTTAACAACCTCTCCATTACCCAGCATTCTCTATCCCCCACTGGGATGAGGTGTGCTGGGTAATTGTGGAAGGGCTGGAGGCTTCTCACAGTCTTCCATCGGGGCCTACAGAAAGGAGCGCTCTCCTCGCAGTAGAGGTTCTGGTCCCTCCCCAAGTATCTGCAACTAGTGTCTAAAGTGCCAGATCTTCACACGTTAGGATCTGGACACCCAGATGTCATGTAAATATTTTAAATTCAATACTATTGTCACTTGCAGTTCTCTTCATTGAGCTGGGCCAGAAAACAGTCGGCTCGTGATACCCCAACATCAACACCACATGCTAGGAGTGGGCTTCATCGCCAGAAAAAGAACTTTTGGTCAACATTCTGGAAACTGCTAGAAACTGTATTCCAAAGCATTTTAAGTTAGAGCTGCACGTTTGGAAATTCACAGTATCGGAGGTTCTAAACTTGGACTCAGCAGTCTTGAAGTCCTTTCTGAACTGGGTTCTCATCTGCAGGAGGAGACTTGAGATCACACAACTGAGCAAACGTCAGGGGTCTGGAATGCAGCCACTGGCTCCGCTGACAATGAGCTTCTGAGAGGCTCTTAATTTATTTTCCCTAAGAAGACTTGCTTCTTTTACAGGGATGCTTAGCTACCTGGATGGGGCCATTTGGTAGCACCCAGGTGTTGAATGAAGCCAGGGTTCTGAGACAATGTTTTGAACAAGTCCTCCAGAGTCAAGGTGGAGCTGGCTTCTTGGAAGTCAGGCTACTGTTTTGGAGTCTAGGCCAGAAGTGTCTGCAGAATTCCCCCATTGGCTTGTGCCAGGCAGCCCATCCCTTCCATTTTAGACGCACTGCCTGGTTCTGTCTGGGTTTCATTTTTCTTATGGGCTATGTTTGAAGGGGACTAGACAACAGTGACTCAACTATAGTCAGAGGAAATTCTTGCCCATTAGCCTGGTTGAAAAATTCTTCCCCATTAGTTAAACACACATGATTTCTAATGAGGGCCTTCATGTTTCTTTTCTCTTGAAAGGGTATGAGGACCTCCAGGCTAATCATAGCTGTAACATGTAGCTAAGCCCTCCTGAAGGGCACGTGCTATAATTACTATTTGACTTTGAAAATGAGATTCGGTAGGAAAGGGATATCGCGGCATTGTAATGACAGAGCTCTAATCAGCACAGGGGCTAAGTGGTCTGGGTTCTAGTTCTGGCTCTGCTCTGAACTTGGACAAAGTATTGGACCCTGCTGGGTCTGTGCTCTTTTTTTTTTCTGTAAATAATAAATAGTAATTTAATAAGCTAATGCTGATGTTATGCCTAAAATATGCAGGCATGGTTCTAAGAACTGTATATGTGCTAATTCATTTAAACTTCATAGCAGCCTTTTGAGGTAGTATGGACTATCATTTCCATTGTACAAATGGAAAAACTGAAGTACAGTAAGTTGCGTACCTTGCCCCAGGTCACATGGCTAGCACATAACAGAGCGAGAACTTAAATCCAGGCATTCTGACTCTGTAGTCTCAATACTCTTAACCAGTGTATTAGCTTCCTATGGCTGCTATAACAAATTAGCACAAATTTAGTGACTTAAAACAACACAAATTTATTATCTTACAGTTCTGGTGGTCAGAAGTCCAAAATGCATTTCATGGGGCCAAAAGCAAGCGTTAACAGGAGTGTGAGCCTCTGGAAGAAGGGCAGAGTGTTCGCTGGCCTTTCTCAGCTTCGAGAGGCTTCCCATACCCCCTGTGCCCGTTCCAAACCAGCAGAGCTGCACCTGCAACCCCTCTTTGACTCTGGCCCTCCTGCCTACTCAAGGACCCTAGTGATAACAATGGGCCCACCCAGGTTATACAGAGTAATCTCATTTCAAGAGCCTGAATCACAGCTGAAAAGTCTCTTTCGCCATCAAAGATTACATGCTCATAAATTTGGGGATTAGGACATGGACATATTTTCAACAATAACGCCTTACTAATCAGAAGCTGCAAACTGATCTCTGCCAGGCTAAGTTTGACTCTACAAGTTCTCCTTAACAGGCTCAGATGCTAGAATTTTCCACCTGAATGCCTCTAGATTGAATGATAGCCCAGTCCCCAGCATTTAGATATCACGTGTGAGTATAGTGACCTTTGTCCTAATTCTTCCTTTCCAATCATTCCGGCCTCTTGGGCTCTGAGTTTGAGAGCCCTGGATGACATCACCAAGTCATAAGAATTTTAATCTTTGTTTTCCTTCTTTCATCCACCAATCTACCCATCATCTACTTAGAGCTCCATTGAGGACTGAGCACCCCAGAGTTCTTAAGGAGCTGACAGCTTAGAGGAGCACAATAATGATTAAAATTTGCATGTTAAAACTGGGTCAACAATTTTCAGGAGCTGGACTATAATAATAAAATGATAAGAAAGTTGGAAATGATATAGACTTCCATGGAAGTTTAGATGGCACTCTAGATTCTTGTAGCACCTCAGGTTATCACTCTGGAGAGTTAGCCAGATTAGTATTTACAAGTAGAGCTGGGTACACGGCAAAACTGTGAAGGAGATAACCTGGGAGTTCTGTCTTGACTCTAGGCTGGGAACCAAAACCTAATGTCACTGGTAATAAAATGTAAAAAGAGCTGGCCAACCTTGATGGCTCTGAATGGTCAGAGCTATTAACTCATCATCTAGTTGAGATAGTGGTGGTTGAGGCAATTTTAATTTGTTAATCATATGTAAATTCTTGTTGATTTTCTGTTGTTGGAACTTCCTGCCTAAGAGATGTCTTTGTCTCAGAATCTCAATAAAAGGAATGGTAAAAGGCCAGAGCGGGGGTTAGTCTTCCCACTAGAGGTGGACTTCCCGCCTGGCCCCATTTTCCCAAATTAACTCTTTTCCAGTCTCTCTCTTCATTTTAGTGTGCGGTCTTCTCCAGAAACCAGACCCTGAGTGGGCCCTGAACCACGTGGGTCGTGTTAGTGTTAAGGGATCCCACAACTCTACCTCCTGAAGGCCCCCCCCCCCCCCAGTCCCTGGAATTAAGTCATCAGTACTATCTCATTCCTGTCCAGATCTGTTCTTACAAACAAATGCTATATGCTCAGCCATATTCAAATGTAAATTTATTCTTTCATTTTACAAATTATTTGAGTGCCAGCTCTGAGCCAGGTTCTATGTTAGGCACTGGGGTACTGAGATGAGCAAAGACTGATCGAGGCCCTGCCCTTTTGGAACTTAAAGACTGGAAGGGCTGGGGGAGACAGTCATTAACCACATACAGAACTATCTATAAGATGTAACTGTAGGAAGGGCTTCTATGGTGAGTCACTTGGGGCAGTGATACTGGGATCTCACCAAATTAGGGCAGTGGGAAAAGCTTCCAAGAAAAAGTGACACTGCCCAGATCAGAAGAATGGAGGATGCCTGGATGCTGGAGTGGAGAGAGAACAGGGAAGAAGAATGGAGGGCAACGAGGCAGGGGCCAGCCAAGTGGCCACACAGGTGGTGGTTCTTCTTCTTCTTTTTTTTTTTTTTTAAATGTTTTAATTGATTTTTAAGGAGAGAGGAAGGGAGAGGGATAGAGAGATAAAAACATCAATGAGAGAGGTACATCATCGACTGGCTACCTCCTGCATGCCCCCACTAGAGATTGAACCCACAACTTGAGCCTGCAAACCAGGCATATGCCCTGATCAGGAATGGAACCAGTGACCTCCTGGTCCCTGGGCCAATGCTCAACCACTGAGTCACACGGGCCGGGCACCAAACAGGATCTTGATCTTTTTTTCTTTTTCTTTTTCTTTTTCTTTTTTTTCTTTTTTTAAAATATATTTTTATTGATTTCAGAGAGGAAGGGAGAGGGGGAAATAGCAATGATGAGAGAGAATCTTTATTAGCTGCCTCCTGCATGCCTCCCACTGGGGATCAAGCATGCCACCCAGGCATATGCTTTTGACCTGAATTGAACTTGGGACCTTTCAGTCCGAAAGCTGACGCTCTATCGGTTGAGCCAAACCAGCTAGGGCAGGATCTTGATCCTTAACCGAGGAGCAATGTGAAGCCATCAAAGAGTGTACATTTTAAGGTGGGTGAGGAGAGGAGTGAATGAACATTTCAGATTTATATGACACCACATTGATCATTATATGGAGAATAATTGGGAGAGGCAAGAGGCAGTTTGAGTAGAGGCCTCAGAAGGCTGTTTGCACA